AAGTTGATTGGATAACATCAGTAGTCGTATTATTATCGGCAGAAGGAGTAGAAGTGCCACTAGTAGAAGAAGCTGAAGATGTAATTGTTGTTATTGTCGTTGTTGTTGTTGTTGCAACTGGCGTTGTTGATACTGAATCTGATTCAGTTGATTCTGAACCTTCAAGTTGATTAATACTATTTTTATTGATAGTGCCATTATTATTATGACTTTCATTACCATTATTGTTATTATCATCATCATCAACATCAACGTCAACATCAACACCAACATCATCTTTCGTGGGTTCAAATCTAATATCATAATAACCACTTTTGTCATCCTTGATGGAATCATCACCAATAGTAGCAAATGTAGATCGTGGAAAAATGATGGGAAATGAGAATATCATTCCAGGCATTTGTTTAATTTCTCGCCAAGTTGGAGATTTTACTGTTGTTTGAGCTTTGGCGCTTGATACAGTTGCAGTTGCACTTGCAGTTGCAGTAGTTGTTTTTGGTGGAGTTGTCTTATTTTTTGATTTTTTCGATTTCTTAAGTCTTATATGATCAGTATTATTACTATTATTATTAACTGGACCTGTCCCAATCCCTGTTGTACCAAATTTTGTTGCTAATAATGAAGTAGATAAATATGAAGATTTTTGAGGTAGTTTTTGTTTTTGATCTGATTTTAAATTTGGAGGTTGTAAATGCTGAGGCGGCGGTGTTGATGGTGATGACGATGAAGACGATGACGACGACGATGATGACGAAATCGATGATGATCTTGACGATTGTTCAGCATCGCTATTGTTTCGAGTTGATGAAGCAATCACAGATATGATAGTAGGCAATTGGCTATTATCATTAATCACAAATCTAGATCTTGACTTAGCAATAATGTTTATATTATTTGGGAAATCAAAATATGACGATGGTTGTGGTTGTGGTTGTGGTTTAGATTGAGGTGATGATAACGTTAGTGATTGTGTTTTACGATTATTATATGTACTGTTGGTGGTGTTAATTCCACAACCGTTAATATGTTGAAGTGCAGTAGACATTGTCGAAATGATTTATTTTATATATATATATATTAGAGAAGAAAAATGAATTAAAGTGATTTTTATGTAAAGAAATATATAGGATTTTTAGTTGATTTAAAAATATATTTGTGTAATTTAAAAAAAAATTTTTTGAA